TAAAGTAACATACATATGAATATGTGTGCCTGCAGTCTTGCGTTCAGTTCATGAAAGTCACTGATAGACATGGGGGGTTTATTTTTATTTATTTTCTTTACATTTTTAATTTTGATGCATTTTGTTTCATTTTTTAACTTGCCATTAAAATCATTCATAGTTATATTTTATTCATTAAAAATTATTATTATTTGAAATATTAATTCAATCAAAGAATAATATTTTCAATGATGATGGTGTGATTTAATTTTTGATAAAACTAGCAATGACAATTATTTATTAATTATAAAAAAATAAATAAAAATAAATCAACTAACCTGAGATCCAGAACTCGAACAGAACTTTCCAGTTGTTTGCATGGCCATTTTCAGCTTCTTCATCATCTGCATTGTTTTCATCTGGATACTGTTCTGCGTGTCCAAACATAAGACCTCCAACTGATGTGCGTGTGATTTGGTTAGAATATCTAGTCCAGTTTTAATTTGATTTGAATGTGAACTAAATTTAGTGTCTGTAAAAGACTTGTGTCATCCTGCAGAGTCTGACCTGCTGCCCTGGACCATCAGCATGAAAGCTGTAGAAGAGTAAACACGCTGTAATATTTTTTTTAAATTATACTTTTTTATGATGCTTTGGATTACGCTTTCTTAGACATGGCTGTTTTTTTTTTTGTTTTTTTTTCCCTAGAACTTTAATGTAAGCAAATATTCCTTGACTGTGCTGTTAAAATCAAAATATTTCTGTTTTATGTACTCGGTATTACTTCTAAATAAGCATCTATATACAAATAATTTTCTTGTCCAACAAATGCATAAAACCAAGCTTTTTTATTAAAATGAAAGCTGAAGGTGTCATATGACTTGGTGCTCTAAATATGGTGTCCTGCCTCATTTAAAGGGATAGTTCCCAAAAATGAAAATTGTCATCATTTCCTCACCATGGTAATGTTGCAAATCTGTAAGACTTACTTTCTTTGTAAAACATTAAAGGGGTCATATGATGCTGCTAAAAAGAACATTATTTGTATTAATCACCCTCAGGAGATCCTTTTTTAAAATGCTTCCTTCATGAAAAAACTAAATATTTTTTACAGTTAATAATTACATTATATGATTATTGTAGATAATAATACTTTAGTGCTGCAATTTCATTACTATTTTGACAAAATATGTAGTTGTACAATAAAGTATATTGTCGTTTTACAGAACAGAAGAGTTTTTGCAGGCAAGTGTTTGGGAGCGTAATTTGTATTTTTTAAACAATATATTAATTTGTCAGACTACAGAAGAGTTGCATTTATTGAGATTTTTATCATGTATCCATTTAAATGTCAGCATCTTTAGCTTGACCCAGTCGTGTCCTTCAGTACAGCAGCATGAACACAGAACTCTGTCTCACAGGCCACAGAGAAGAGCCTCTAAATCACAAAACATGAAGATAAGGTGCATTTTACCCTTTCAGTTCTGCAAAGCAACGGTTTTAAATCCATCATTATAAGACACACAATGGACCACAGAATACAGTGACAGTATTGGCTTAGGTTTTCAAAAGTATATAATTGGATGTAGTGGTAATTATCACAGTGATAACAAAGTTTTATCTATGACATTTATAAAAGTTATCAAAATGTGAAATCTGTTTTGTTTTCCCCTATACAACGGAAATACATGGTGATCACTTTTAGTTTTTTACACCCCTGGTTCCCTCGCATACTAAACCAAAATTGCAGCGCTAGACTGTCCCTGGTGCCCCCTCAAAACATTAAGACCATGACGCTTCTGTCTGTACTAGTAGGAGGATTGTGAAATTCTGTGGTCTCCCTTTCAAGAATGCTTTTACGTGGAAAGAAGAACCTCTGAAAAACAGAAAACAGACTCCATGTTCTTACATCCCTCCATGTTTCAAAATAAAATGCATTTTTAAAAATGTTACCAGTACTCTTTATTTCCTTTTCCTCTATGCCATCAAATATACATCAACAAAGAAAATGAGTTAGAAAGATTTAATTCAAGATAAAAGACATTCTGTTCACAGAAATAGATCACGTCTATAAACACAGTCATTCAGAATGGAGGCGAGCAATGATGGTGAAGGTAATGTTCATTTTAAACAAGCACAATTTGTATCAAAGTGAATCTCTGACTGTTTGACCAACGGAAGTAGGATTGCACATGGCCAGGAAGTTCATCACTCAAGAGTGTGTTCGTGTGCAGAAGTTCCACACACTCTGAGCGCATCGACATGTTTTTAAAGTGGATTACAAACTGTCTTTTATTTTTAACTTTAATTTATCTCACGCATACAGGTAAGAGACTTCAGTTCTGTTTTAAAGCAAAGCCCAATTTCTTAGTTGTGACATACTACATCATTTTTTGACTAATAACAAGGATCCCAGTGATAAGTTAAAAAAATACATCTTATATGTGGTACATTTTCTGTGATCTCTTTCACAGTGGATGTGATATATGTACTGTATTATTGAAGGCAACATTCTGTTGTCAGCTACACTGAAATGTGTCTCAATCCACAGATGCAGAGAATGATTTCAGAGCAACTGAAGGAGAAACTGTCTATCTTCCCTGCCACTCACCCCCTATTGACAGAGTACAAGTTTCTGTAGAGTGGACAAAACATAGTACAAGCAGCACAACTATTTGTCAATGGAATATTAATAACATTACTGGATCTCACACTGGAGACTGCGTTCCTCGTTTCAAATTCAACAGAAAGTCTTTTACACTAAGTATAGAAAATGTTCAGCCCAGTGACTCTGGTCATTACAGCTGTAAAACATCAAGATTAATACCACCACCAATATTAGAGAATACCACAAATGTGACACTCCAAGTTGAAGGTGAGTGTCATTCATAAATTATTATGTTTTTAATTGTTTACTTCTTGTAGACCATCTAGCCTAGATGTCAGTAATAAGCATCTAAACATCATAACATTTCTCTCCGCTGCAGTTCGTCCACATCTGTCTCTGCAGAAACTGAACAGCAGTAATGTCACCTGTATCCATCTGCTCTGCTCTATGGAGGGTCTGACGACTGAGCTGGTGAACTTCACCTGGAGCCGAGAGGGTCAAAGTTCACTTCATCCATTCAAATCTTATGCCACGAACAGTGAGCTGCGTCTGTGTAAACCTGACTGGAGTGACGGAGACACAATCACCTGTTACGCCAGCTACTCAAGCACACAAACTCAAAGAAGTATACAACTCACTTCACAGAAAGATTCTGACAAAGGTGGGTCATTTTAACTACCTATTACTTTAACCAGGACAAACTAGAGTAAAGTGTACCAGTTCAGCAATGCTGTTCAATGGCCTTTAAACTTTCCAAGGAAATTAATTACAATTATTTATTAATTAAATAAAAAAAATTTTTAAAAATCAACTAACCTGAGATCTATTTTTCCAGAACTCGAACAGAACTTTCCAGTTGTTTGCATGGCCATTTTCAGCTTCTTCATCATCTGCATTGTTTTCATCTGGATACTGTTCTGCGTGTCCAAACATAAGACCTCCAACTGATGTGCGTGTGATTTGGTTAGAATATCTAGTCCAGTTTTAATTTGATTTGAATGTGAACTAAATTTAGTGTCTGTAAAAGACTTGTGTCATCCTGCAGAGTCTGACCTGCTGCCCTGGACCATCAGCATGAAAGCTGTAGAAGAGTAAACACGCTGTAATATTTTTTTTAAATTATACTTTTTTATGATGCTTTGGATTACGCTTTCTTAGACATGGCTGTTTTTTTTTTGTTTTTTTTTTCCCTAGAACTTTAATGTAAGCAAATTTTCCTTGACTGTGCTGTTAAAATCAAAATATTTCTGTTTTATGTACTCAGTATTACTTCTAAATAAGCATCTATATACAAAGAATTTTCTTGTCCAACAAATGCATAAAACCAAGCTTTTTTATTAAAATGAAAGCTGAAGGTGTCATATGACTTGGTGCTCTAAATATGGTGTCCTGCCTCATTTAAAGGGATAGTTCCCAAAAATGAAAATTGTCATAATTTCCTCACCATGGTAATGTTGCAAATCCGTAAGACTTACTTTCTTTGTAAAACATTAAAGGGGTCATATGATGCTGCTAAAAAGAACATTATTTGGTGTAATGAAATGTGTTTATGCAGTTTAAGGTTAAAAAAACATTATTTTCCACATACTGTACATTATTGTTTCTCCTCTATGCCCCGCCTTTCTGAAACGCGTCGATTTTTACAAAGCTCATCGGTCTGAAAAAGCGAGGTGTGCTGTGATTGGCCAGCTATCCAGTGCGTTATGATTGGCCGAATACCTCAAGCGTGAGACGGAAATGTTATTTCCCTTACCATACTGTGATGCCCTGTCAGACCGGATGTGAAATCTGTTTTGTTTTCCCCTATACAACGAAAATACATGGTGATCATTGGCTGTCAAGTTCAGTTCACTTTTAGTTTATTACACCCCTGGTTCCCTCGCATACTAAACCAAAATTGCAGTGCTAGACTGTCCCTGGTGCCCCCTCAAAACATTAAGACCATGACGCTTCTGTCTGTACTAGTAGGAGGATTGTGAAATTCTGTGGTCTCCCTTTCAAGAATGCTTTTACGTGGAAAGAAGAACCTCTGAAAAACAGAAAACAGACTCCATGTTCTTACATCCCTCCATGTTTCAAAATAAAATGCATTTTTAAAAATGTTACCAGTACTCTTTATTTCCTTTTCCTCTATGCCATCAAATATACATCAACAAAGAAAATGAGTTAGAAAGATTTAATTCAAGATAAAAGACATTCTGTTCACAGAAATAGATCACGTCTATAAACACAGTCATTCAGAATGGAGGCGAGCAATGATGGTGAAGGTAATGTTCATTTTAAACAAGCACAATTTGTAACAAAGTGAATCTCTGACTGTTTGACCAACGGAAGTAGGATTGTTTTTTTGTTTTTTTTGACTTGTGATCTAGATTGTAGGAGGGCACATGGCCAGGAAGTTCATCACTCAAGAGTGTGTTCGTGTGCAGAAGTTCCACACACTCTGGGCGCATCGACATGTTTTTAAAGTGGATTACAAACTGTCTTTTATTTTTAACTTTCATTTATCTCACGCATACAGGTAAGAGACTTCAGTTCTGTTTTAAAGCAAAGCCTAATTTCTCAGTTGTGACTTATACTACATCATTTTTTGACTAATAACAAGGATCCCAGTGATAAGTTTAAAAAATACATCTTATATGTGGTACATTTTCTGTGATCTCTTTCACAGTGGATGTGATATATGTACTGTATTATTGAAGGCAACATTCTGTTGTCAGCTACACTGAAATGTGTCTCAAACCACAGATGCAGTGAATGATTTCAGAGCAATTGAAGGAGAAATTGTCTATCTTCCCTGCCACTCACCCCCTATTGACAGTGTACAAGTTTCTGTAGAGTGGACAAAACATAGTACAAACAGCACAACTATTTGTCAATGGAATATTAATAACATTACTGGATCTCGCACTGGAGACTGCTTTCCTCGTTTCAAAATCAACAGAAAGTCTTTTACACTAAGTATAGAAAATGTTCAGCCCAGTGACTCTGGTCATTACAGCTGTAAAACATCAAGATTAATACCACCACCAACATTAGACAATACCACAAATGTGACACTCCAAGTTGAAGGTGAGTGTCATTCATAAATTATTATGTTTTTAATTGTTTACTTCTTGTAGACCATCTAGCCTAGATGTCAGTAATAAGCATCTAAACATCATAACATTTCTCTCCGCTGCAGTTCGTCCACATCTGTCTGTGCAGAAACTGAACAGCAGTAATGTCACCTGTATCCATCTGCTCTGCTCTATGGAGGGTCTGACGACTGAGCTGGTGAACTTCACCTGGAGCCGAGAGGGTCAAAGTTCACTTCATCCATTCAAATCTTATGCCACGAACAGTGAGCTGCGTCTGTGTAAACCTGACTGGAGTGACGGAGACACAATCACCTGTTACGCCAGCTACTCAGACACCCAAACTCAAAGAAGTATACGCCTGCCCTCACAGAGTGATTCTGACAAAGGTGGGTCATTTTATCACTTTAACAGGGACAAACTAGAGCGTAATATTTCATGTAATAAACCACTATCCGTAACAATTCAGCAAATTTACACTAATCTAAATTGCTTTCAGTGTGCCAAACTGCTAGTAGAAAAAAATCACACACATACTTGTTTAAATGTTAGAAATATAGAACAGTATGTTTAAATAACGGGCTTCGAATTTAACCAGACTAAAATACATATGTGACCCTGGACCACAAAACCAGTCATAAGGGTCAATTTTTTGTGAAATTGAGGTTTATACATCAGAATAAATAAGCTTTCCATTGATGTATGGTTTGTTAGGATAGGACAATATTTGACCGAGATACAACTATTTGAAAATCTGGAATCTGAGGGTGCAAAAAAAATCAAAATATTGAGAAAATCGCCTTTAAAGTTGTCCAAATGAAGTTCTTAGCAATGCATATTACTAATCAAAAATTACGTTTTGATATATTTACGGTAGGAAATTTACAAAATATCTTCATGGAACATGATCTTTACTTAATATCCTAATGATTTTTGGCATAAAAGAAAAATTGATCATTTTGACCCATACAATGTATTGTTGGTTATTGCTACAAATATACCCATGCTACTTATGACCGGTTTTGTGGTCCAGGGTCACATATGTGATGTGAAGGATCATATGTGAAGGATATGTGTGTACGCCTATGTACCTCCAAATACTTAATAACAACTTTTTAAAATGTTTCTGAATTTCTTAAGCAGTTCTGTCAAGCAATCTGTATTGTTATTAGTAAAAACTAAAAAATACAAAGCAAACATTAATTTTAGTACAAATTAGAAATAGCATTCTGAGTTCCATTAGGAAAGTCACTGTGATGCTCTCTAGCAGACTGCTTGGTCCGATCAGTTGAGATTGTTGCTGTTTTCCTTTTGTCTGTCAAACATTCATCTGTCTGATGTTCATGATCTGATCGTACCCCGTTTATGACCATTACAGTTGTCCAGCTGTTGACCATCTCATGCAGTGCTGCTGCAGGCCTCATCCTCTGCATCATCCTTACCATTGTTATTTGCAAATGTGAGTATGATTATGTTTGATTATTTAACAGTTATTATAACTCAGATTAAATAACATTAAATAACTGTGACTGATAAAAATAGGAAACTGCATATGACGAAAGTTTTTTTCTGTCATACGTTTCATAATAATGCAAGTTTAGAAATAGTTTGACAGTTAAAAAAAGAAGGCAAGAATTTGCATCCTTCTCTATGTCTATTTCTGCTTTCTGTCACCGTGACGTCAAAATCTTACGCACAGCATTTTTATATTTTCAGGAAAATATCTCAAATTAAAAACATTGCATGTCTGTTTGTAGCATATGGTGAACCAAAACAGCTAAAAGATGGTAGGACAGATTACTAGTCCTAGCCGATCTAGTCTTCCTCGTCTCCCAGCCTGACCAGCTGACAAAACCCCTCTAAAACCACCCAGCAGGACAGGTGAAAACCAGCTTGAAGAGACTGGGAGACCTGTTTAATCCAGTTAAGAACAACAAGCTGGCTGGATTTATATCTTATTTTCATTAGGGAATATGGCTAACACCAAGTTACCACAGTTTAACAAAAACAGAAAACAATACCTTTAGTAGCCAGTTACATAGGGAAGGTAAACAGGTACAGTAAATTTGTCTACTGATGTATTTATAGTCCTCACGGATCCCTCAAAACTTTATATAAAGGCAATATACGGAGGCCTACCAGTCGATATTGGAAAATTATTTTTATAGACCTCCACTAGATGGTGACAAAAGCAAACGTCTATTCGTTCTCAACTGAAACCGGCCTCAGCTGGTTGGCAGGTTTAGCTGGTCTTCAGGACTGGTCATAGCTGGTTTGCAGGCTCGTTTTAGAGGGGCTTTGACCACTTCTTTAGTTGGTTGGGCTGTTGACCAACCAGATTAAACCAGCTGAAAACAAGCTTGACCAGGCTGGGAGATCAGCTTAAACCAGATGAGACCAGCCAACCAGCAAGTTACTGCAGTAACACTAACATTATCATAAAAAAGATATGTCTACACTGTTTAAAAAGAGATAGAACAGGTATTTTTATATGCATTTACAGCCGATGCATTATTTCAGTAGATTAACTTTAGATTTTCAATTATATTAATATGTTAAATTAACCTAACATTTTTTTATTTGTGAAAAGGAACTATGTTGTGCTTCTGTTTTGTGTTCTTTGTATTTGTCTGTTTTTTTGTCTGTCTAACTTGGTGTCTGTTTAATTTTGTAGGCAGAAAGCAAGACGAAAATGGATCTATAGTGTTCAGCAATAAAGTCTATGAGAACTTCAGTTTCGCCATGGCCCGTCAGAACACACAGTCCAATGATAAACCACAGCCAGAAGAGTGTATTTATGAGAACTAACTGCTGCTGCTTATATAACCTTTGCTTTAAAGCCAGATCGGCCCAGTTTTTACGAAGGCAGTATGATGTAGGCAAAAGTGTGTTAAGTGGTTTAGCTAAGATATTTGATGGTGCACTGCGAATGTGAAGCAAAAGCTTTCTGTATTGTTTACAATGCCTTCACTGACTTCAAACACTGTAAGCAGGCACTTTAAACAATCAGTAACTGTTTTCGTTGTGTTTAAGCACTGTAGGTGCACTAAACTATTATGTCTTCTAAATTAAACTGAATTAAATTATGATAATGAGCAAGGATCTCATATCCGTTTTCTTTCATACAATGCAAAGGCATTATTAAAATTTCTCTTTGCACTTTTTGTTGTATGAATTTTCTTTTTTGTATGGGGCCAATTATACTGTAATATTTCATTACTTGTAAATAAATCACACATTGTATGTCTTTTGTGTCAAAGCCTCTCTGCTGTCAAACCAAACTGCAGAAAATTATTTCACACTTATTCACATCTGTCCTCTGGTCAACTTTGGGTTGCAATGAAAAATGCAAAAATCACTATATCACTTAATAATGGCCATAGTTGGGGCAAAGTTATCTTCTATTGTGAGTACATGCCTATGGTTTATTTAGTGAAAATGTACAGTATATATTTACAAACTTTGCTCCTTTTAGTACATGGGTGCCTCACAAATCTGAAACGATTTTTTTCTAATTTGGTCTAAATGGAAATTTAGATTGTGTTCTTATTTATTTTATTCAATGTTTGTATGTACAGTATGTATGAGTCAGTCATTTATTAGAATGTTTCTATTAATTTCCTCTTTGTACAATGTATAATAAATACAAAAAGGTATTTGATGGGATTCAGATATGTTCATAACCAATGCTTTACTTAAAGAGGAAATCACCACCTTAACCCATTTCACAGCATGAGACACTTAAGCAAAGCACATGAGGAGGATGCAACGCACAATACTTTTCATGGACAGAGAGATGGTGAGTGTATGTTTCATACAAATATTTGAAAACAATTATAGATAAATATGAATATGATGCAACTTGAAAGCATCCTTTGCTTTAGTTGTTATATTAAAACAGTAGTTATTCATATCACTCTATTTTAAAAAGTACCGAAAGGGATAGTTCAACCAAAAACATAAATTCTGTCTTCATTAACTCACCTCAGTGTTTCCTCAGTGTTTTTCTTTGATCTGTTGTTGGTGGATACTTCTGTCTTCAGCTTTCAGTAAAAAAAAAGAAAAAAAGATACATTTATGAATAATATGACACAGAAAGCATGACAGCAGTTCTGCAAACATTAAATCATACACGCATGTGTTCATATTTATTACATGGGAATACATGGAACAAACAAAATTGTGAAGATCACAGCAGATTAATATATATTCCAGAAACTAAGGAAATAATATTCGAGCTCTTAAATCTTCAAATGAAAGATACCGGCACATACGCCTGTACTGTGAGGAGGATTGTAAAACCACCTCAAGTGGAGCTGGGAGTTCAAAGAGTTCAAGTTATTGGTAAATCACTTCTTTATAATCAGGAAAAAAAACACATTACAGATAGATAGATAGATCTGAATGATGTAAGTAATATTGCATTTGTGTATTAATCCTTCCACCGTTCACAGTGCGTCCCGCCTTGTCTCTGTCCTGTGTGAAGAGGCCTGATGGATCTCCCATGATTCTGTGCTCTGTGCTCTGAGACGTCCTCAACAGCACATACTCAAACAAATCATTCAATGGATTCTTCAGTTATCAATCATACCTTATACTGCCACCACAAACCTTCAATGATACAATCTACTCCTGCTGGGTAAATCATTCATCCCTAAACAAACCACTGGTGGGCAATTTATCAAGCTCTGTCTGCTATGAGAAAGGGGGTAAGTTTTTCTTGTTTAAATGCATTGTATACTGTATGATATAATGACATATCTGTAAGAAATAGCCTATAATGTGGTTTATAACAGGCTTTTGCAATAATTCTGTTTTGTAGATTTAATTGAGGCTCTGGCAGTGGCATTTGTTATCTCTGCGGTTTTGACAGTCTTTTTGATGATTTTTGTAGTCCTGTAGGCAAATGTAACATTAAGTCTCAGGTATGAACTCTGTCTCTATATTAAGCATCTTATTTTTTTATTTCTATTTAAAATGTCATTCTGATTCTGTAACTGAATACTGGAATGCTTATTACCAAGAATTTTATTGGTAAACCTTAATGACCTTGTCTACGAACAAAAAATTGACAGTTGTCTATGAACGTGAATCAAATTAACAGATGTTACAGGGCTCCATGGCTGTGCCTAAAATGGTCGCATTTGCCACCAAAAAAATATTAATTTGCTAGTGAATTTTTTGCTGACATCGGCACTTCCGACTATGTTGTGACTTAAAATTTGCATGTAATTCCTTTTTTTCCTGCTGGTTTTGCGAACACTTCTGTTGCTATGTTGACGTAATAAACTGAGACGATGTGCATCAAAGTTTTAGTTGGGGGGGGTTTAGTGAAAAAAAGACCTTAGTCCTCGCACCTCTGCCGAACACCAGCGTTGACAGCACACCCACACCAGCTAAAAGCATGGCTCCAGTTGGCAGCTTGAGATAATCGCAATAAATAATCGCAATAAGCTTTGTGCGCTGTTACCTTTAAATAAACAAAGTATCAGCTTTAAAATTCTGCCAAATTCATAACGAATTTGCGATCGTTTTAGCGCCTCAGCTCAAGCGGGACATGGGCCTACTCATATACTGTAGCACGAAATAAACATGAATGGACACCAAAGGTTATATTACAAGATACAGTAGAAATTACCTACAGTACAAATTCCTGAAATGTCTCATGTAATCACTCATTCTGTTGTCCAAACTGCAGAAAACGTGTAAAGCTTGTAAACAATATCTACCTCAGAATAACCATCGGCGTCCCTAATAAACTCATCAGTCAGCTAAATAACTATAAAGAGGGGCATTATGATAGATATATATGCGCTATATTGCATATTGATATTTTTACTTAACCTGTTATAAAATTCAACACTTCCTATAAAATTGCATGTTACTAATAAAAAACAGACTGGATGTTTGCAAGACATATGACAACATTTATAGGATGCATTGAAGAGGAGCCCAAACTGCACTCAATGGCTAAGTGATGCTGACATAGTTATGGATACTGTGTAATAAACATAGTATCCACAACTAGTTACACAGATTCTCTGTAATAAACAATTCTTTGTAACTTTATACAGTTCTAAAGTCGGAAAATGTTTAGTTCTCACTTTAAGTGAACCTTAGTTCCCAGGACATTTACAAGATCAATTAAAATGCTGATGCTGTAAAAGGAAGGGGGACATAAGCACATGACAGTATGATTGAAATGTTATAGTGTTAAAAGAATAAAATAAATAAAACACATATTCTGTTGCACTTAAAAAAAATAATTTGATGCCATTTTTTTTGTCTGAAGCCCTGTTGTTATTTCTTTCAAGTAGTAATAGGGGGTTAATTTCATCTCGTATGTGATCAACCTTCATCACTTTGTGTATCTGCTCTTCCGGTAAGAGCACTTCACTAGTCTGTGGGTGTGTGTCAATCAGCAACGGAGCACCCTATAGCTTGTCAATCAGTAGGCCTATGTTGTGCACACATATCGAGGCACTGGTATGGACCCTGGCTCATATTTGGACATACTGTCAGTGTACAACATTGTACATCACCGCTGGTATTAATCAGCAACAGGCACAACCTACCTTTTTCAATATATTTTTTAAATGTTTTATAAACACATTGTTACATATCCTTACAACATTTCAGCCGAATATGAATTACAAATGTAACTAGATGTGTTCACTACCTGTCTAGTGATGTGTGCATAGGCCTATGTGTCAAATCATCTATCACGTGTCATAATTCTCAGTATAGAGCATAGTGAGCATCGATACTCCCTGGGTTTACCGTGCATTGGTGCACTGGAAGGATTTTGCGACTGAAAACCCACTGAAGTGGCCAACTGCTTGATCAGTGCCCTAATTAATGAATTAGGGAGCTGAATGAGATGCACCCAATGTTTGCTGTAGTGAGTGTCACATCTGAGCCAGTACTCCATGATCACCTGCAGTCTGAGACACTGTATTCAACTTGTGACCATCATCCAGTCCCGTGCAGCCAAGAAACACTGACTGAAGACGTTTACAATAATAGTTTTTCAAATCAATGTGTATCTTAATCATTCAGTACCCTGGCACAATTTTACAAGTGGCCATTTTACACAGAACGTGTTTTTGCATTACACTATGCTGCTTTTCTGTTGCATTTCTATGTAAACATGCATTAGACTTCTCGCTTGAGACTTCTGCAGGGTTGCATGCATGACACAGTGTTCTAAAAACAAAGTGTTTAAATTAGCCAAACTGAAGATCAACTTTTAAAAAACTTTGATATGCTGCATTTCACCCTCCCCCCATTCATCTGCCCTCCCTCTTGCATTTTTAAATGCAAAAATGCGTTCTGTGTTAACGGAAATCAAGCCACATCGCACTCATAATCGAGCTCTCTGAATATCATGTTTCTGTTAAAAAACAGTGTAGCTATAGCTTCATATATAGCCCCTATGTAAATGATCATGTGGAAATAGCTTTCAAAGAACTTCTTATGACAGCCTTATGAAGTGCAGCAAAAAGGTATGCAACCCAGGCAGTAGAGGTCATAAGTAATTAAACCTTTATTTATTTTACATGTACTGCCTTTGCATGTTTACCAATGACCTACATCAAGCTTTGATGCATCACCTGCTTCGACATATCTTTACAACCTCCCACATGGTGTGGTTAAAATAACCAGACCACTTCATTGCTTTAAGTGCAGTTGCCCAATCAGAGCATAAAGATGTTGATCTATAAGAGAGGTTTTGGTGGAGGCAGCAAATGAGGTCTACAGGACATTGGGTATATCCATTTGTTTCAGAGCATTACTACACTGTACATCTGTTATACTGGTACAATCCAATCAAAAAATCATTACTTCCCTGCCTGACGAAAATCATATGTGTTAACTTTAGTTAACAATTACCTTGTAGAGTCTTACTTCATGAATGCGTTTTAGAATAATGCAATTTAAGAAATAGTTCAGCAGTTAAAAAAAGAAGTCAAGAATTTGGTGGAAATAATGACTGTTTCCTTCAAACACCTCTCCGTCTAAATACATCAGTATCCTTCCTTGTCTATTTCTGCTTTCTTTCACCATGATGTCAAAATCTTAAAGAAGACATTTTATATTTTCAGAACAACACCTAAAAACAAAACTGTGTAAGTCCAGCTAACTGGAAATGTTCTCAGATATCTGGCTAATGTTCTGGCAAGGTTCTTTCAAAGCTGTGAACAAACATTTTTTCCAGTAACTTTTAATAGTATTTTCCTTTAAAGTTATCTGCTCTTTAATAACTTTCTCAAAACTTGAGTTCAAAAACACTATTTACACATTGTTTGTGGAACATTCAAAAATATATATAAAAAAATTTAAAATAAACAAAAATCTTGAATGTTTTAGTTGGACATTCGTCAAACAATTCACAACGGGCACATTTGCTGCTGTCCTAATCCAAGTGTGTTTGTTCCCGGCACCTTAGATCTTCTATGAAATATTCATCACTCTCATCCTCCACAGTTGTTTTGTTGAACTAATGACATCATTATGTTGCTTTTCTTCCTGAACAAGTGATTC